TATGGGCAGTGATAGCATCAGGTATTAGAATGTGAGCTCACTAAACCATGCAAAGGAACAGGCTGAGCATTTTAGCTAAATATCAGCATGCTAGCACTTTGCTCAGAGGAACTCGGACATATAGCTCTTTATCCTTGTGCATGGTCCAGTCAGACAGCAGGGACACAGTCTGCATGGTGCCGCCCTTTACTCTGGCTCCTGGTTCATTAAATCTCCTCACACAGTGTTTCCGTGCAGCGTTTCATTGCTCCACCGAGCATCTCCCGTTGACTTAGCTTCGGACGTGACGTTGATGTTTAATCTCATAATTTCTCTCGCGCAGCAGACTGTTTAACACACGACTGATGTAAACGGCTGCGCATCTTGCAGTCAGTCTTCACCCTTTAACAATTATCAAGCCTTAAGCTCGCTCATAATCCCCTAGCAGCCTTAAGAGAATGGAAAAGTGCGACTCTCATTTAGCCTTTCATCACTTCATCTCGTCTTTGATGCTCTCATCTCTATGCTGAAAGTGTTTAACGTGATAACTGGGGCCCGGGCTCGACTTTGAGAGATACAGTACCCCTGGGGCTTGGATCCGACTCAAAGAAGAGGCCTCGGTGGATTAAATGCCAGCCAGCCCACATGGGAGTTTGGAACTGTATACCTTCTTTAGAGATCGGTGACAGCAAACGCAGAGGACCACCAACTTATCACCAGAGAGCCTCTTTTTCCTCCCTCCCCCTATTGTGGCTTCCACCCTGTGTGTTCCACAGAGACTGAAATAGAGAAAAGCAGTGAAACAGAGGTGAGGTTCCTCTGTTTGTTTAGAGGATCAGTTTGATAGCGTGACGTTAAGAAGTCGGTGAATGTGTCTCACAGCCTGCGGCATAAAGCTCGATTAGACTTTTCCAGTTTCTGCTAACGCCGTTGACCTAGGCAAGTCAAGTACCCTGGTATGGTGAGGCATGGGAGAAAAAACCTGACGGGACAGGAGGAGAAAATCAGAGCGCGTCTCAGAAGAGAGAAGAAGAAAAAGAGGAGGAGACGGTAGATGCTGGCTGGGCGAAAAAGGGGAAAGTTAGCGGAAAAGTGAACGGTCTGGAAACGAAAAAGAGCAGTTCATCACTTACCACCACACATATTTCTGATTCAGGACTCCAACCATTGAGTGCCTGGAAAATGTGAACGCTAACAAACTGGAAGCTGATGTGGGCCACGTTTAAAGCAGCGGTGGTCTCAAAACCTCCTGGTCCTGCCTAGACTTCAGGAAAGTCACCCACTTGTGTGTGTGTGCGTGTGCGTGTGTGTGTGGGAGTGTTGCATGCCTCCACAGTTCTGGGGCTGGCACTGAGCATGCATCCTGTCTGTTTTATTGCAGCTCTTGCAAACTCCGGTAATATCGTTTTCCAAGAGAATGTCAGTCCCAATGGAATCTGACAACCTAATATTTAGAAAAAAAAAAGCTAAAGCTTCTCTAGAAGTTGGCGAGAAATGAACCATGTCTTAGGGAAAGCTGAACAGGGGGAAAAAAAACAGACGCGTTGATTCAAATACGAGGAAATGACTTCACCAAGGATGACTAAACAAACAAGGGCGGGGATTTTAATGTGTTAGTTGTGATTGATGATAGCGGGTGAAATGGCATTTTTCTCTAGTCTTTCATCTCTGGAACAAGGGGAAACACGGTGGCCAAAGGGAATCCGTCAGCCACGGATAAGACGCCCTGGACCCGGTTGTCGGCTAAAAGAAAGCCGGGTGACCGGAGGTGGAGGACATGTTGGTTTTCTTGAAAACATGTGCTGGTCTGTGGGGCAGATGAATTGTCATTTTAAATTCCAGTTAATGGCGCAAGAAAGGAAAGAAAATGTCTGAATGAGGGAATACAGACACAAAGAAACTACATTTGAAATTCAGATTTGATCTAATAAAAAATTCCAGATGAACATGGAGATTTCTGGTCTGTTTTAAATTAGCTGATGCAAACTTTACCCTGATAGTATGCAAATAGCTTTTGTATTTAAGTGATTGATCATCAGTGTAATTTAGTGTCACGATCATATAGTGTCAAGTTAGTTTGGAAGCAATCTTTGACAGGATTTCATTTCGAAGTGGCGGATGCCAGTAAAAAGGAAGCTGGGGCTAAATACCAGCAGCAGGTAGCAGCCTGCATGCCTGCTGTTTTACTGCGTGTTGAATCTGTCCTTCATCTTCCACAAGCGTGTGATGTCTGCCGGTGACCCAGAGGCTACCGAGCACTCGGCGTGAGCTCTTGAACTCACCGCTTTGCATTGGGTTTCATTCTTTTTTTACTCGTCAGCCATCCAAGTGTATCGTTTCTGTCGACCTGGTTGAAAGACTTTTATTCCCAAATGTCTGCTTATCCTGTTAAAGCAGAAATTTTAATTGTATTTTTGCTAGTTGTTAGGTTCCAGTTGTAGCTAAACAACATGCCGTCTAAGTTGAACTTGCCTTCTTCTAGAAGATAACGGAAAATGGTTAATGGAAATAAACTTTTTCCAAAAACAGACACACAAAATGAAAAGGAAATAGAAGTACATAGACAGGAAGAAGCACAGATGCTGTATTGAGGTAAATTGTATGGATAAAGCACTTTTAATAACATGAAAACTTTCCGTTGTGAACCCCTGTTAAATTTAGTAAACCTCTTACAATCTTTTTCTCTTCCTGAGGGTTCAAAGTCAGGACTATTGTCCAGGTTCTCTTCAGTTAGCAGAATATAGATATGTGACTATGGTTACTCTCTGCTTCAGAGTTAGTGATGAAGCTGTAATTCGTAATGGCGATTAAACATGCTACGTATTTTTTTTACAACTGGGTGTCCATCCACAGGCTTTATGTCACAGAGCTGTATGTTTGGATGTGTTAATACTGGAGCGAGGATGCCCGGCTGCTGTGGGGCCCTCATAAAACCAGCCTGTCTCGGGGGTGGGGTGGCAGCATTGGCAATTGTGGGTGTACCTGCTCTAAAGGCCAGTCGACGGCTCTTTGGGTCAAGCTGGTTTGGTTTTGAATGTGTGCCTCATTTCAAGGTTAGAGCTGTTCAGAGTCCACCATGAAAGTGAGTAAACCTATATTGTTACCGACTTTCTTCCACTCTGGATATGTTTTTCTTTGACTAATTAGTTAAAGTTAAATGTTTACTTTAAAGTCTCGTGTATTAACTGATGCTTAAAGACAACTTTAGGACTTCCTTCTGGCACAAATTCCACAGTCAATTGAGCCAAACTGAGTCATTTGAGCAACTTAAAACATACTTTCTAACCAAAAAACAACGGGACCTTGGTATTTTGGAAAGATTTTGGATTAACCCGGTTATTTTTTCACTTAGTTTTATCCTAGAGACTTTCAAGAGACCTGAGAGGCACATAAATCTAAGAGTTCACAGGATTTTTGACAAACTAGAAGTACGATTGAGAAAGGATTTGTGTTCAACTGTCAACATGTGGCGAGGCTCTATTTGAACACGTCAGACGTCAAAACTGAGGCAAACAAATTGAAGCTTATTAGTGTGTCCGTAGTCAGTAACCGTCCACCACTTTGGGAGTCTAAAGGCCGTCTAGAAAAACCAAATGAGACGGTTTCACTCCGGCGAGACCAGAACCGCTCAGCCGTCTTAATTTGTGTATATTGAGCGGGAGGACTTTTAGACTTGTCTGTAAATGTCCGAAGGTTCGCCTCACCCGTCCAAAGCGCTCCACGCATTTGTACAAAACAAAGCCCCCACCCCACACTTGCTTCTACTCAGCTGAAAGCTAAGTGGTCCCAAATTGCCGGTTGAAGCTAACGGTGGCAGCTTGTAATCACGCAGATGCTTCCACGGAGGGGAAGGTCTGAACGCTGCGTTCTGTGGGAGGAGGCTGCCCAGGCCTTTCATTTGTGGCTGACAACAGTTCGCCGGCCTAATACTCCTACATTAGAATGAGGAGAGCTGGCCCGGGAAACGGGAGTCGGAGGATAAAGCGGCTCCTTTCCTCCCACCCTCTTCTTCACCATCGGAGTGCTTTAAAAGTTCATAGTTTGACTCACACGCTTACAAACTCTGATATGGGTTTAATTAAATCCTTGATACCGTCAGATATGGAAAAATCCCCGCACTCCTCCCACAAACCTCACAGAGCTGGGAAAAAAATCGGGAGTCACGATGTCTGCGGCAGACACAAAGAAATATGCAGGGTTCAGAGGTCACTGTCCCGAGCCCGTCTGCCGGACCCCCCATGGGTGGGCTGACCCTTCATGATGACAGCTGGACAATCAGTCAGAGACAGACAACACCCCAGAGGCAGCGCGCAAAACACTGCCATGTCATTTCAGGGCAGAGGCAACTTATAAGAGTCGTCCTTATTCTATGCTCGTACAGTTGGGATTGCATTCATAATACTGTTTAAAAAGCAGTAGCTTCAGTTTGCTTATTTTCAGCTCGGCTCTTTCAGCCAGCGTTACAATAGTTTAATTTCAGTTAAGTCATTTTTATAGCTCAGGATATAGGATTAAATATTTAACAGTTGATAGTCTCTATATAGTACATATCCGTTGCTATTTAGCCCCCACTTCTATTTATGTTTTATCGTGAAGCAGTGGTTGGCTTTTATGAGCTTCTGAAGCTAAAGAGAGCCACAAAGATCAAAATGTAAATAACGGTTTTACTCCCAGTTCATAGTGTTCACACCCATCCCAAAAAGTGGGGCTCCAAAATTCATAGGACACAGTGCTGAGGAAGTCAAACCACAAAATACTACAACAAATAACTCATTTAGAAAGGGATCAGATCCCAATTGATGCTTTCGTCTTCAGATTCTGAGTATTATTGTGATTCTACCAAAAGACCAATGAAAGAGGACAGTAGGTGTAAGAGGCTGTCTGGAAGGATAACATGCGGATAGGCGACTGACTTCACATCAATGTCCATGTTTAAAAAGTCATGCTGCATATAGGTAAACAATGTCTGGGTTTACCTGTTTATGTGACAGTTTGGTCTTTGTCCACAGGAAAGACAACGACTGGAGACCATCCTGAACCTCTGTGCTGAGTACAACAAAGGGGAGGGCACGGGGCTGGACCCGCTGGGCTCCGGGAGGACGGGCTTCCCGGGGGGCTTCGTGGACGGCCCCGGACGGAGGCCCTCGGCGGAAAACGTCCTCGGCGGGGCGCCGTCCTCCGCCGCGCTCCGGCTGGCCCAGCGGCAGAGGGAGAGCGACGAGGAGAACCTGAAGGAGGAGTGCAGCAGCACGGAGAGCACCCATCAGGAGGTGAGGACGTCCGCCCCCCGCGCGGCCCCGCCACTGCACAATGGAGAGCCACAGGTCAGAGGGGAACGCCCGTTTCCCTGCACAGATGCTCCCTCTGCATGCCGCTGGGGGGGTCCAGCGCTTTGCTTTGCAGCAGTGCTTATTCTCAGCGCAAATCAGGGACTCCCAGGGAACAGGGAGGGGACAGGTGACACACTCTGAGTTAGGCTCGTCCCGATCCAATATTTGGATAGGATCGGCCGTCGATATTCGCCAAAAATCTGCAAATCGGCCGGCATGAGAAAACGCAGATCCAGACTCCAGATCCATTTTTTTTAAAAGTCCGATCCCACACGAGCATTAGCATCTCCTAACCCACTGGTCTGTGTCCTAACCATTAAGTTGTTATAAGAGTAAATCCCTGTTCAACATGAGTCTGACAACTAAATAAGTAGGCTAAATAACTTTAAACTTTAATGCATATTTTTGATGAATACAAAAAAGAATAATATATAAAAAGTTATACTGTTTGTTTTACTGTAAATAATTCTCCTTTACCACCACGCCTCATGTAACTGAGGGGTAGGGCTTAATAAGCTTATGCTTCATCCTACTCCTTTTTGAAAAATGATGCATGTTTATGAAGCATTTTATGTAAACATTGTTAAATCATATCATGTTTCAAAATAAAGGAAAATGAAATTAAATGAAATTAAATGCATGCTCTGATAGGCCGGTATCGGTATCGGATCAGAAGTGCAAAAAGCTGGAATATGGACATCCTTAGCTTGAGTGAACGGTGGTTTAAGCCACCAGCAGCAGCACAGATACTGCATTAACTATCAGGACACAGAATAGTTTTCTATGTGAACGTCCTGCATGTGTTATATACTCAGCTTTATTTTTAGATCATTTTCCTTTTAAAAATTTTTTGTTTAATGTCGTATACTGGCTTTATGAGCTCTGAGTCGGAGTAACGCCCCTTTGTTTTCAGAGCCTGTGTTAGGTTTGTCTGCACACTGCACAGGACACCCATAAACTTCCCGCCTGTTGTCTCCGCAGCACGAGGACTCGTCCAGCTCAGGCAGCGCAGGCCGCTCAGAGCTGGCTTACCTGGAGGACGAGAGGGTCCGCGTTCTGGCTCGGATCGACGAGCTCAAAAACAGGCTGACCGAGCTGGAGCAGCAGCTCCAAGAGTCCAAACAAGAGGTGAAAAGAAAAAATGTAATTTAAACCTCGGTCATGGCCTGATTTGTCCAAACGCCACGGTTTATTTGTTTGAGGACAGACTGTCCTCATCAGCCCCCGGTGACCGCACCGCTCCAGAGCACCCAGGGTGACCGTTTCAGTCCTTCTGTCCCTCCAGGCGGAGATGGAGCGCGCCCTGCTGCAGGGCGAGAGACAGGCGGAGCTCGACCAGATCGAGGCCGAGAAGGACATCATCGCTCAGCTGCAGCGCAAGCTGGACGAGCTGGAAAGCGCCATCCAGCGGGAGAAAGACAAGGTACGTCTTGGCTATTGGACAATTCCAGCTCGTCTCTCAAAGGCACATCTGATTTGGAGGCAAACGGAAGTTGTTTTCCCCTTTAAAGTGCTCATACTTTTTCAGCCGAGCAGTCCTCTATGATGCGCTTTCCCTCCTGGTTTGTCACCAGTAGTGCTGCATAAATGGGTGTTCCTGCTGTGGAGAAATGCATGCATTTTTTAGAAAATCATACACTCCTCTATAACAGCAAAGAAAACTGGGCTAACCTCCTTGAACACACCCTCCTTTTCTGGTTTGGGTTGATTTGCTTTCTCTACTGTGTTGCTCTTATTACCATAATCAGTAACCCATAATTCTTTATCTGCTTACTCAGTACCTAAGGTAAATGTAACTATTAATGCTGCTCGCTTGTTTCCTCACTTGTCTATAACCCTATTAGCAGAAACTCTGCTCTTTAGGAAGCACAGAGTCAGAAACACACCTTTATTAGTATTTCTGTGGCAGGAAAAGTCCTCTATATTTGCTGGCGTGGCCTGTTGTTTGTCACATAAAATGACGATTTTTCCTCAAAGGGTCATGTAGAATACATGTTTAGAAGCGTAGAACCTTCATAGTTGTCATTTTTGTCGGATGGTTCCACATTCGAGGGATTCAGTTTCAGAACTTCCTGAAACAAATTAAATCCACTTCGGTGGTAAGAAACCAAAATCAGTGAGGTTAGTGTTTACTGGGGATCGATTCCTCTGTAGGAAACTGAAGCCTGAAGAGAGATGCCTCTGCATGTTAGTAAAACTTTCCAGCTATGAGGTTGAAACATATCAAAATGTCTCAGAGGAAAGTGTCTGAGAACACTCTTTTTGACTACATAGATATCATATATCCTGACTTTAGGTGTCCACCTTTAATAGTCCCATCACCACGTGTGTGTGTCTCTAACACCTGACGACATCTGATAGCAGTCTATTTCTCTCTTTCTCTCCAATCCTCCATCGACGCTGTCTTTCTAGGAAAGCGCTAACGTTGAGGCTGAGCGACAGGCCCTGCAGAGACTCCAGGAGGGCTACGCTGAGCTGAAGAACCAGCTTCACAACTGTCCCGAGTCCCTGCGGGAACAGCTGCAGGAACAGCTCAAAAGGGTGGGTCTCAAGTCACGTAGATGCTCCTAAAGATGCACGTGATCCGGGAGCTGGGAAGGCGAGGAGTTCACGGCGCGCTGTGTGGGTTAAAAGGCTCCTTTTGGAGCAGTTCTGTGGCTGATGGAAGACGTGATGAGAACAATGAGGTCCTTTCTTTGTTGCCATTGATGTGGAAACTATATCTGAAAGCCTCACGTTTGGATTGATATGATACCTTTCATTGTTGGTTGCTTGACAGTCAAACATGGCCTTTTGACCTATGTTGAGCCTAGTAGTTTGAATATTCAACCCTTTTTGCTGTTTTCTGTAAAGAAATTGAGCATTTTTAAAGTTTGTAGAGAGGAACTGATTGAGGAACTTATTCAAAATTCTTCTCTAAGTAGAACCTGGTGTAGCCACCATATCAGGGACTGATCAGGTGTGAACAACATGGACGGAGCTGCATCTCCTCTGTGATTTGTCATCTTTCACACCCCTTGAATAACTGCTCACTGACCCATTAACACAGGCCCGGACTGCGTCCATTCTCTGTCCTCCCTCGCTGTCGTCGTATGACCGCTGTTCCGTAAATCAAGGTAGCTGTTTGGTGACAGCTAGCATCTTTGCTCTTCTTGCTGATGGAAGCAAACAGGAATTAGTAGAGCAGAGGAATCGTTGTTACATTGGTTCTGTTACTTCCTTGAAACCTTCAGTCAGGCTTTTTCCACATCGTAAAGAAGTGGAAAGCGTGCGCAGGTAACGAAACGTCCTCTCCAAAAGTGTGAGTTGGTTTCACCGTTAAGACGTTTGACATTTGGAGTTCTCTTTTCCTCCTTAGACTCCTCAAAAAAGTGGGTCATTTTCACTCTCAGACTGCGTGTCAGTGAATTAACATTCTAAGCTTTCTGGAGCTCCAAATTCTCTCCAGAGTCCTAAGACTCAAAGACTCACCCCCCTCCTGGTGGGAAACTTGAAGTTGTCAGGAACTGAGCAGAGCAGGATCAGCAGGAGGGATGACTGCATGAGAAAATCCACCAGTGTGGATATCCCCACGGAACCACTCTTTTCTCTGCAAGCGCATCAAGAACAGCTTTAGAATTGATTCATTTAAGTAAAAAAATGTTTTTACTTTATTCTAATTGGTTTAGGGTTTTTGAAATAAAAACGATGGCTTTGAAAATATCTGTTATAACCAGCTCGTTGAAGGAAAAGGGATGTAACACAAATCAGAAGTTCTTGGTAATGGCAAAAAGTTATTTATTAATTAAAGGTAAGATTCAACCAATGAACACAGATTGTGGCAATAAAATACAAAAAGAGTAATAAAACCAACTGTACTTAAACCAGGGGATCCAAGGCAGTACAAACAACCACACAAAAGCAAACTGGAATTATTCAAAATAGTCCAAATTTAAATTCAAGTGCCACAGCACAGTTCCAAAACAATATCCTCCAAGGGTACACACAGGGCCGTAACAATATGCTCCGTGGGTCCTCCTTAAATCCAGCCCGATTGGTGGAATGGCCTCCTCGCAGGTGGATGGCATCAGCTCTTTACTGCAGGAACCTTGGGAGTTGGTGTCAGGCCTCATGAAATAGAGAGGAAGTCGAATCCCCCCCATCCAGAATACGTCAGTGGCCGTAACAATATCGAATAAAAACGTGCGAACCACATCAGTTCTATTGCAACTGTAAATTTTGAAAGCATGCTCCTTACGGCTGCCTGCCAACAGCCTGCTGGGAAGGTCGTTCACTTTCTCTTTGGTGTACACAAGTGCTGTAGTAAAAAAACAGTGGAATGCTTTGAATTCTGATCATATGGCAGCTCTGTGTCATTCTTTATATTTATGGTATATTTATATTTATTAATGGTATAACCACTCACTCATATATATATTTATATGTATATGCATCATGTATGTGAGTGGTTATACCATAAAGAAATATAAATAAATAAATAAATAAATAAATATATAAATGTAAATTTTTTCTCCCTGTCCACTTGTCTTTAATGGGCTCGATTAGGAGGGAGAGGTGCTGGAAGCTGGGACTAAGAAGTTCGAGGACCTGGAGTTTCAGCAGCTGGAGAGAGAGAGCAGCCTGGAAGAGGAACGAGAGACCATGAGCCAGCAACTGCTCCTGGAGAGGGCCGAGTACCACAGCAGCGTGGCCAAAAGGAAGGTGAGGGGATGCACTGTTACCCCGGTTTGACCGGCCGTAGTCTGAAGACCAAGACTTCAGATTCCCCTCCGTCTGACAGACCAGGAAAGACTTGGCTCTTTAATAAGTGTTTACTGAGTTTACTGAAATGCCAGTGTCAATATCAATACTATGCAGGCATGGAAAGAAAGAATCTATTTAGTTTAATAGATTTTTTTCATGCTTTATTTGTCATGCTTTATTATTATACTCCTCCCGTCTTCTTTCGATGTAACTACGATTTGTGCGTCCCGCCTGTGTTTAATAAAGAATTCTCTCGCTAGGAGAAGGTCTCTGCTCTGGAGAAACAGTCCAGCCAGCTGGGTATGCAGACATCTCAAGAGTGCGAGCGGCTGTCCAAAGACAGGTTGCTCACGCTGCAAATGCTCCAAAAGGTACGGCTAGGAAAATGACCTCACCCAGAGCCTCAGAGAAACGCAGAATCTCTTCATTAGCAGGAATTGTAACGAGCTCCACACAAAGGGTGAAAAGTTCCTTCTTTTCCAGGAGAAGGAGCGACTGTCGGCCCTGGAGAAGCGATACCAAACCCTGACCGGAGGAAAGGCCTTCCCCAAGTCTTCCACTGCAATGAGGGAGGTGTGTGAATCATTTGTACGGCTCAGTCCTCCTGCCTGAAACCAGCCCAACACTCATCATGTCTGATCTCTCTCATATGTTGGTGCCCAGGTTTGGCCCTGATTTGCTTTTGACTGACAGTATTAATATCGGGCATTTACTATCATTAGAATATCCTTTCTGCCGGTAGTTTTGAGAGCGTACTAACTGTTCCACCACTGACTGATTCAGCTCAGCGATGGCGTCTGACTGCAGGAGGAATCTCCTTTTAGATGTGAAGAACTGACATTTTTCTAGTGATCTATCACTTTTCCGCGGGCATTAAAAAGACTTATCCCGAAACAGGAATCGCTCCAGATCAGCGAGGCTGACCTGTTACTGGAGGACGCCCGCTCCTCCAAGTACTCCCTCTCTGCATCCTCCCCCTACTACGTACACCCCCCCCCTCCCGGTCAGTTGTACCCCGGCAGTCCCACGGAGGTAACCGAAGCCCAGATCCCTGCATGATGCCCACAGCTTCTCCTCCCCCCGCCCCCACCCCGCCCCTGTTGCTTGTGTAACTCACCCCAGACTGCACCAGTCTCTGTGTTGGTCACATTGTCCCTAAAAGGCACCCGTACTGTACTGCTTAGATGAAGGTGTTCACTTTTGGGGACGTCTGTCTTTCCGAAAGTCACCCGGAGGCCGCAGTTGTCACATCACGCGCCGGTGTGCAAGTCGCTGGTATCGGGCGCGTTTTTTGTGTTTTTTGTGTTGTCTGCCTGTGTGTCACACAACGCGGCCCTTTTAAATGTCCACTTGCACGGAGTGTGTCCAAAGAGCTCGGTGCGCGGCGGACTGGAGCAGAAAGAGTCAACGTGTGTGTGCGTGTATGTTATGTGTGCGTGTGCGCGTTCTGCGCCCCGAGGCTGGGGAGGCGCCCCCCTCCGCTGTTTTCTCATGGCTTCTCGTCCTGTCTGGCTGGCCTCGGCCCATTCTCAGGAAGACCCCAGGCTGCCGGACGCCTATAAGACGCGTGGTGACCGGCGCGAAAGCGGCGACTGGCACGGCCGCTCGTTCGCCGTCGATCCTGCGTTAGCCGGCGAGGTACCGTTCCTGTTTCCTGTTTCCTGACCCGTGTGTCCCCCCCAGTCTAACTCCATCTCCCCATTTCCCTGTGATGTTGCTCCCTCTGCTGGTCTGATGCCAGTTAGAGCCAGCGTGTTGTGCTTTGCTCTCTGCAATGGGGACGGTCGGCCGTCATTGTAGAGAGCGCAGTGCAAATGGATTGATGAATACATGTTTGGACTGAGCCGGTATTTAACATGTAATATAACAAACCCTGTCAGGATCTATTTAGAATAGAACGTTCTCAGCGAAGGAAGTGAGGGGGTTGAATGTTATGGCATCGGTGTGGATGATAAGACGAACCGAACGTTGGCCGTGTGTGTAGGGTGTCACAGCCCAGTGTGTGTGTGTGTGTGTGTTTTTTCCTTCCTTCCTCACAGTACAGAGAGTCTAAGTGTTCCTGATGTTTCCCTCCTGCTGCTCGCCTGACTGACGTGTCTCTGCTCCCCTCTCCCTCTCATCTCCAAACCGTTCTCCTCCTGTCTCTGTTTGTGCGTGTGTGTGTGTGTGTGTATTTCTTTTCCGGGAAAAAGGAGTATGTGACAGTCGGCGAGTTAACTCAGATGTACGGGATGCCAAAAGTGGAGTCCTCCCCCACCTCCCCGCTTGGCCGGCTCGGAGCCGCAGACCTCAGCTTCTCCTGCCTCCCCTCTCCTCATGGCTCCTCCCTCTCTCTGCCTGTGGAGGTGTGTGTTTGTCATTCCCTCTTTCCCTCATTCCCTCTTTCCCTCAATCCCTCTTTCTCTGACCTGCAGTCACACTTTTGAGTTAGCAGTCATAGATTTAACCGCCTGCCCTTCTTGTTTTGTTGGACTAATTCAGAGGTGAGGTTGGGTAAAGTTAGGAAATAAAGCCAAAATTCAAGACAATATTATCCACACCTCGGAGAGATAAATCAATTTCTGCGTTTGATACGGTTGCTTTCTCCAGACTTCTTGTCAGAGCAAAACTGACAAGCAGCAGCCTCACAGACATAAAAGCAACAGCAGACTCTGTACAGAGAAGACTAAAATGCTTTTCCCAATATTGATTTTTTTTCCCGGTTTGTTTTGTACTGTCTCTCTGGAGCCGCTCCATCTTTATCCACCGTTTGTTGTCACCAGTCGCCGTGAGCAGCTCCTCATCTGCTCCCAGGAAACAATGGCAACACACTTTAGGGTTGTCCGCACATAGCAAGAGCACATATCCCTTAAAGAGTATTTTATTTAGCCCTTTGAAGGGTGAGTGTGTTTTCTACACTGTGGCTGCTGGGAGTTATGGAGCAGGGATGTGGGACTTACTGCACTTAACTGTCTGCTAATTGTAGTACTCATAGTAGAGTGTGTTGGCTGTTACATGTAACAAATAGAAGATTGGATTCTCCATACATCCTCGGAAAATTCATGAACATATACTTACCTGATAAGACTTGCTATTATTTATGTATTATTGCTGCTGTTTCCTGGATTCAAGATAAACAATCTAGTTGACCTTCATCTTTTTGCCTTAAGTGTTCCCATACTTTATGTTACTGTCTCTTTTTCCTGCTGTGCTTACATTGTAGAAATGCCCTGAATTGGTTTAACTAGATTTTAAAATGAGCTATTGAAGCCCATTACTACTTTCCAAGTCTAATTCAACATCACGTTATATCATGCTATCGGTATCTCATAATTTATCTCATAATTTAATTGTGCTAGAGGATCATTTTAATAAGAGTTTTATCTGCCTCACAGGCACTTAAAGCAATGGAAATGTTTGAAGCACAGGGCTCGTCGTATCGATGGTATAATCATGTTGGCTAAACGACGTAATTGTTCTGCTGTTTTCAGTCATTTGAAGCTGTTGACTGTAAGCTTCAAGCCAAAAAACTCCTAGAAATCAAAGTTGTTTACATGCAGGGTTGGCAGTGGCCACCTTTATATTAAGATGATTTAGTTAGTTTTCAAATGAATATGCAACGACTTATTAGTTTACTTCAGAGAAAACAGAATTTGAAAGGTTCTTCTTAAAAAACTGGGTCATTGCTACAGCAACGTGGACTTCAACCACCGAAGTGTTAAAGGCATGAAGAAGCCAGGGGCAGAAAAGCATTAATGTGCTGAGTACAGTTAGGAATCCCTCTTGAAGCAGAACCTAACGGCATCTTTTTAGTGTGTGTGTGAAACAAACAGTTCCCCCTCTCAGCTATCTGTGAATGCTTTCTAATTTCTTCATGTCTTTCCGCCTTTTCCCTTTGTTCTTCCTCTCTGTCGCGTCTCTTTGTGCTCTCCAGCACCAGAATGAGGCCAGCAAGCCTTATCTCGCCAAGATAGATTTAGAGCAGTGGTACCAGGAGCTGATGGTTGGGTCCAGCCAGCTCTATGCCCCCCCCCCTGCCAGCCAAGTCGCTGTCAGGCCGCAGGCCTGTGCTTCAGGTAGAGGCTCTTTTCTTTTCTCTGCTGTTCCACCAATGTTCAACCTGCTGCTCACTCACTCACAAAAACAAGAAAACATCCCTTTTTCTTTTCTTTTCTTTTTCTTTTTTTTTTTAGTAAGAAATATTAACAATTAAAATGTGTTTTTGTAAAATAAACTGAAACTGCTAAATGTTCCCCGTTCTGTCATAATAATCCTTAAACTTAAAATCTTTGGTCTTTATAACAGCTTCCGTTCTTCCCCTGAACTTTTTTTCTCCTTTCTGACAGTTTCTCTTCTTATTACCGTAAGTCCCACAGCTGTTCCCACAGACTTGCTTTGGATGAAAGTTCTGTGTGATCAGCCTCTGAATCTCTTAAATCCCACACGGACTTTGTGTCGGCTCCTCCATCAGTTTCAGTACTCCAGGTGTTTCTGGACGTTTGCTCAGTAACAGCCTCTGAGCAGCTATTCTTCCCTTTAAGCCTCCTTCCATCAGTCTCCTGATTACGGGCACCCTGGCGATCCCCAGGACACACAACCCAATTCCCCTTTTTATCCCCAAATTTCAACCAACTCACTGAGTGTCTCTGAGAAGTCAGAAATTCAACCACTAAAACTAGCTTTTCTGCTCAGAATGACATTAAATTAATAGAATTTGACATCCTAATCATAAATATTCATTATAGTCACTAGTTTTTTTTATTTTGGGCGAAATACCATCTAAATACTGGTGTATAAGCCATTAAAGAAACATAAAGAGTTATTCTGGGACCCACCCGTACGGTTCATTTAGGGCAGCTGTGACAGAAAATCTTATTCTGGTTGGTGGAATAATAGATGTGTAAAGCATTGTATATAAAATGTTATATGCTTCTTTTTTATAGGGTTGAAAAAAGTGCTGATTTAGCGTTGATCTATTAACTACAGCATTTCTTTTAACATCCTCAGCACTTGCTTGCCTTGTGAATTTTAATTGTATTTCTAACAGGGCTCTAAAATCCTGCATCTGGCATCACCTGGATTAATAACTTTCACATATCAGCTCTCATAATTTATTAGTCGTCCTCTTTGTTCTTTTCTGTGTTTTCTGCCTCAGGTCTTCCGCTCTAAGCTGGACAGCGATCCAGGCCTGTCGCACCACCAGTCTAAGTCCGGCCCCGGATCTCCTCTGCAGCACGGAGCAGCAACACTGGGACGCAACTCAAGCTCAAAGGTACGCCAAAGGGATCCATTCATTCCAACAGCAGCAGCCCTGACGGCACCGTCCACAGTTTTTAACTGAAATCCTCAAATGTTTTGTGCCTCAGCAGAGCCCCCTGCTGGCAGTCGGCAGCACCGGCAGCCTGCCCAGGAACCTGGCCGCAACGCTCCAAGACATCGAGACGAAGAGACAGCTGGCTCTGCAGCAGAAAGGTAACCGGGCTGTTCCCACGCCTCGCGGCTCCAGTCAGTACTCGACCGAAAAAATAAAATAAAATCCAGGAGCCCTTTTCAAAACACAGCGCACGCTCTTACCACCGGGCCAAAGGGAGACGCGAAAAGAGAAGTGCTTCCTTTTGCCCGATACAAGCCGCATCACAGACTCTAAATCACTGCAAGGCCTCACTGATGCAGATGCTGCCGAACACCCTTCTGGAGATTGTCGACCCTTTTTGCATGTGACAGCGTTTCTGTGGAGTCTGATTTGAATAAAACACCAGAACAGTCTCCTGAGGACTGTGCAGCGGAAAGCACAAACACACACACACACACACGCAGATTTCACAGAGGAACTGGAGCAGCATGGCTACAGTAATTTGTACCGTTTACGCTTAAAATACCTGTTTGAAAATTGATTTTACTTTAGAACAATCTCTGCTTTTTATAGGAAAATCCTTTTAATCCAAATGGATAGACATAAATCTGACTTCTCTGTGTTGTGAGTTTGCTTTATAGGTATCTCTGAACAAAGTAATGTTTGCGGCCTTGAAAGATAAATGAAAACAAATATTTTTCAAAGAGTTAACCACATGTTTTCTTTAAAAAAAACCCAGTGGGGTATGAGGGTCTGCAGTGTTTTCCCATGCTTGAAATCTGTCCAAAATTTTTCAGATTGCAGGAAAAACTGAGGTGCATTGTAAGCGAGCTGTGGCCCGCCGCTCATCTCTGAGCTGTGTGTGTGTGTGTGTGTTTGGTGTTTATCGGTGGATGTAAAGGGGCTGCTCTCAGTGCTGTGTGACTAAGTGGATCAGAGCGAAGCAGTCTGTCTGTACATGTCGCCCAGCTGGAAGCCACCCACGATCGCTGGGTCTGGAAAACCAGAGCGGGCCGAATCTGAGCGTATGCCTGCAGAGCCGAGTTCCACATCTGTCAGTCTGTCTCAGACCTGCAGCCGGAACACCGGTGAGGGAGGCCAGGCAGGTTAGAGGGATCGGCCTGTCCAGGAGGGGATGCTCTCTGACTACTTATTCGTTTTTGTTCAGTTAAATCTGTCCATCCATCTGCCGTCTCTTTCGAAGCCACAGGCGCTGTTTAAAAAGGAACCGGTGCTCCCGCAAAAGAAAGTTCAAATAAAGAAAAGCGCATGAACTCGTTCCACTTGATTTCAGAACCTTTATGCCATTGTGTTTGGCTTTTAAACTATCCGGGGAAGGTGGAAGCAGCAGAGAAGCTTTAGGCAGCCAATCGGCAAAGGCTGCAAGGAGCTCGGGAGAAACAAAAAATCAGGTCTCATCCTCGACCCGATCCTGTCTGACATGCTACTCCTATTGATTTATCCATCAAAGGTAACATTTACCAGAATCTAACACTTGACTGCTGTTCGTTTCAGACCCTGCCTTCAGTCAGACTTCATTAGCGTTCCTCCGCCGAAAACCCCTTTCATCTTTTCTTTTGTCTCCAACATAGAATCCTCTTTCTTTCTCCATCAATCTTCAATGAACCTTCCCGCTGCTGGAGAATAAATCTTGCATGTTCAGGGATAAGCGGGCTCCCGCTTTTGCAGCTGAGCCCCATATTCAGATGCGTCTGTCCAGTGTTTCTGCACAGCAACTGTAGTCAAACAGGTCAAGTTGGACGGACGTCCAACTTTTTGGCTCAGCCTTGTGGGACTGAAGCTTTTTTGGCAGTTTCCCTGTGTGGTGTGTGGTCGTGGTCTCGCTGGGCGTGGGTCTGTGCTGGTTCTCATGTTGTCGGTCTTTCAGTCTTTGATGCTGTAGGCTCCACGGCCGCCTCGGACACTATCGGACCTGCTGACTTGGCATTGTTTCGCCACTGATTGGAGGGCTATGGTCCTCCACTTGAGATCCGAAGTGCAACAAACCCGCTGATCACATCTCGTCCCTCAGGTCAGCAGGTGATCGAGGAGCAGCGCCGGCGTCTGGCGGAGCTCAAGCAGCGGGCGGCGGCCGAGGCCCAGTGCCAGTGGGAGGCGCTCCACGGCTCCCAGCCCCTCCTCCTGACCTCCTCCTCCCCGTCGCTCTCCTACTCACCCGTCATGGCCTACGGCCCCATGCTGGGCCACGGGGGCTTCGGGGGCGGCCCCCCGCTGGTCCACCACTCCATCCTGCACCACCAGCCGCCGTCGGCCGGAGAGCAGCCCTACGACACGCTCAGCCTGGAGAGCTCGGACAGCATGGACACCAGCGTGTCCACCGGGAACAACTCCGCCTGCTCGCCGGACAACATGTCCAGGTGTGCACGACACACACACTAGCACACACACACACATGAGACACATGAGTGAAAGTTACTGATGAGGGACAACTAAATGACTGTTTGAGCTTCAGTAGGACTCAAACGCAGCCCAAAATGTATCTCTATGACTCAAGACAGACTAAGAAAAAGGTTGGAAAGGTTCATTTACAGACAACAATGTCCCCGCCATGTTAGCTATTTCTGTTCAACATCCTTATAGAATAAGATGTTAAACGTCCGTAAGATTCCTCCTGCTTTAGGTTGATAAGAGGTAGAAAAGGGCTTTTCAGTTGCGTGGACACACCACCTATGTGCAATTATTACATCCTGCTGCCTTATTTGTGTGTTTGGTGTCAGTGGGGGAGCCGTGGACGCGCTGAAGATTGAGGAGATGGAGAAAATGCTGAAGGAGGCACAACTGGAGAAAGCCAGACTTATTGAATCGCGGGTAAGATCAAACTTTCCGAGGGACAAACTAGTCCTGAATCCATCCCCAGTGACTGATGAGTCTGTGCAGAGCTCTCGTCGATAACTTTGAACCAAATATGATTTAGAACCAGAGAAGCTCATGAAAGCAGCCAAAGGCTCTTATTCATTATTATTGGCCTTTACCTCTTTGTGCTGTGATGAAGAAGCTCAGTTTGATACGCAGTCATTGATGATGGTCCGATCCCATTCTCCTCTTTGGCTTTTCTCTCACATTTCTATTGTTGCCATCTGTGACTGTGCAGTTATTTTTTCAGCTCAAAGTCTCAGAACGTAAACTTGAAAAGAGCCATTGTTTATCTAACAATTGTTCCATTTGTATCGTATAAATAATGTAGTCCCCTTGAATACTGCCCGACTCAGTTCAGTGTGTGTGTTTGTGTCTGTGTGTGGGGGGGAGGAAGGTGGGCACTCTCCGAAGCTGCTCCATGGATCCAAAAAAATATTTAATGAAGGCGATCTTCCCCCAGGAACGAGAGAGCCTAGCTCGCCGTCAGATGCTGGAGGAGGAGAGGAGGAGGAGGGAGGATGCAGAGAAAAGACTGCAGGATGAAACGTTCCACCGGCAGCAGCTTGTGGAGAAAGAGGTCAAGATGAGGGCCAAGAACTTCTCTCAGGTCAGCGGATTGAGATCTAGTCCGGTTCCTCATGGTGGAATAAAGTCCTGGACGTGTTGTGATTCAGTTGTGAAATATTTAATCGGTCAACAAATGAGCTGGGCCATGTTCTCCTATGCCTAATCCTCCTACTTTATGTTGTCCATCCAGGCCCGTCCCATGACTCGCTATCTGCCAATCAGGAAAGAGGAGTTCGACCTGCGCTTGCACGTGGAGTCGTCGGGCCACAACGTAGAGACGTGCTATCACGTGATCCTCACAGAGAAGATGTGCAAAGGCTACCTGGTGAAGATGGGAGGCAAGATCAAGTCCTGGAAGAAACGCTGGTTTGTGTTCGACCGCCTCAAGCGAACATTCTCCTACTATGTTGGTAAGCAACACCATTCTTGTTCACTCTGTGTGTCACAAAAACAAAAACAAAAACTTGAGCGTCTCTAGGCTCTTTTTTGGGGATGATTGTCTTTTTGTGCATGTGTCGTAACAGCTCAGATGAAGCTGTTTCAGAACACGGGTCTTTATTCTTCTACATTCTAATGTTCAGTAAGTTATTTGTTGTTGGGGCAATATTTTTAAAATATGTGACTAGTGCACATGTTGAATCAAAAGGAAACTTTTTGGGTTGATTTTTGGGCCTTTCAGACCCCACTTTTTCCTTCATGTCTGAGTAATGTCAGACAGTTATGGGTGCAAAGCAGCACCTGTGAGTCAATTGCTCAGAAAAAACTATAACTGGTCAATGACCACTTTAGTCTTCTTTGCAGCTTTAGTTCGATTACTTTTTACCAGCAGTGCATGGTAGAAACTAGGTTTACCCAGTCTTTTTGTGGGTTTTCTTGGTACCTAAATTGTCCAAAAACACCCGCAAACATCTGAATTTTAACCAGGATGGGATTTCAATCTGCATAGCTCCATGCATCCAGTGCCTGGTGGGTATTTACTTGCCCCAGCTCCAGGTGGCATCCGAACACAACACCGAGGACGCCTGCTAATTTTCTCTGAGGGGGTTGCACGAGTGGTCTCTCCACACGTTTTGTTGACATGAACAGATGGATGTTACTACAGGTCTGTGTGTGCTGTAGCTCTCAGCTCAACGAGGGTAAACATTCCCACCAGGCATGGAGTGATCGCATGAATAATTAAGCAGCTTTGTAATCGCTGGTTTAACCCACATTTCAATCACAGGTTTACTGTACAGCGAAATGTACTTCACGTCACCGCGTTATTTTCTAAAACTCGTCAAATTTTAGCCGTAAAGAAGATCAAACAAATCCGAACTTGACCGAAATGTAAACATTTCACCACTTTGCGACATGGATGAGAAAACGCGGGCTAGTTCTGGCTCACATCATTTGGCCAGATATGGGAATATCAGAAGCTCCAGCTGCGGAGCGCTTACATAAAGAGTCAGAAATGCGCCGCGGCGGCTGAGTGGCAGCCCAGAACACGCGTCCCCCAGACCTTGAGCAGACTGACATGCTGTATGTGGCGCACACCTAGCTGCAATTCGACGCGGAGCCCGGAGCGCTGGGACCCGCGCTCCCCGTCAGGCCTTTGAAGTCCTCAGAAGGTTCCACTCAAAGCTGCTTAACGCGCACCTTGTTGAAAGCGAGCCAGGCAAGCAGGCGCACCGAGATTACTCCGGCTGCGCTCTTTGAGGGAGCCTCATTGAGATGCGGCGCCGGGCCTCGTCTCCTGACCTTGAACCGGGTAACTGGAAGCGACGGGCGCCAGCCTCGAACGCCACCGACTCCCGTTAATCAACCCCCAAAACCGGAGCCCGGTTCACTTCCACTGAGTCAAATGAGATGCAAACGCAGGGCTGTTTGAATGCTAAAGAGGTCATTAGCAGTTAATAGCCGCGTGTTAAAAGGGAAAGAGTCGTTCCTCGAAATGAAGCGCCCGCCTTTTTCTCTACCTACTACTACTTAAGTTGGCTCGTGGAGTGTTTGCGCCTGGAGGTAGAGAGGGGTGCTGAGTTCCCCACCGGTTCCTTACTGCAGTTCTGCAGTGGCTGATGAAACAAACTGCAATCGTGTACCAGAGTAGCGTAAGAATGCAGTCAAGTCTGAAAGTACAATGAGAAGAGCACCACTGCTTTAAAAACAGGGGGGGAAAAAATACTGCTGCGCTTGTCTTTTTCCATCTATCACCGCAAACCGGCTGCGGGTTTTTTGGGCTCGGGGTTTGCGCCGTACCCAAAAGAGCTGCGCCCCCTCCAGCAAAGAGCGCACAGCGCTGGTTATGTTTCCGTCTCTGACCAAACCCTCTCTCCCCCCACAGACAAACACGAGACCAAGCTGAAGGGAGTGATCTACTTCCAGGCAATAGAAGAGGTCTATTACGATCACCTCCGCAGTGCCACAAAGGTAACAGACCCCCCCACAAACACACACACACACACACACTCATTCTGGCCCAACTCTTATCACCCTCCATGTTTTTTTTCACGCCGGCTGTGTTTGGCTCACCCTGTGCTAAGTATCTCTCTGTATGCGCTTCTTTTCGGAACGGCTGCCGTCAAAGAGGGGATTTTTCAACTTGAACATGGCCGGCAGTGTATGTATGCACGCACGCGTTCAGCCCCAGTGTGCCCCCAAACCAGTTCGTGCCGCACAGAGGAGGACGGGCTTTTTCCGCTCGCGGGTTTTTCGCATTTACCCACAGAGCCGAAGCCCGAAATCCTCCGGAAGCACGGAGTGTGACGCCTGTCACTTCCCCGACTTGAATTGCTAATCCCGCTGGTTTTCCCCCTGCCTGTCCCAGGGCAAACCAGCAGAGTGGTGACAAATCAACAGCTTTCCTCATTCGTGCACCTCGTGTTTCAGTGGATGTGATGTACAGTAGGCTCAGAATGAAGAGCAAAAACCTCCCGTCTGCTCCCTATGGTTGGCTCCCCCCTTTCCCAGTCTTCCTCCTTTTGGTTGCTCCCTGTTACTAACAAAAGCTTGTTATGCTTTTAATTGTTTTCCACCTCCAACGTGAAGCTCTTCGTATATTCTTCCTCCCCAGTCTTTGTGTGTACTCGATGCCCTGACGCTCTGCAAGGCTCTGATCTCCTCTGGAACTTTGATTTGTACTTGTCACTTCCAATGCCGTGCTGCCGAGTGGAAAACTTTAAAGTCAGATGCACTTAGCAGATACAGAGGGATCGTGTTTTAGCGAAGGAGAAGTGACGCGGGGGTTAGGGAGACATAATTCCCTCTGAGCCTTTCAAGAGCTACACTTTAAATAAAGCTACAGACAAAGATTTGACGTTTGTTTTATTTTCATATCTTTGTTAATTTATTATGAATTATAGTTTTTTGTGTTTTTATCAAGCTACGCCTTTTTTTTTCATGACATTTTAATAAGATCGTTGACCTTTAGGGGGCACTACAGCAATCTTTAACACAACAATACCCAGACAGGCAGCGTTCATTCTCCTCCAGCTTGTTGGATTTGAGCTGAGGGGTAAATAAAGATGGCCGAATGTCTTTGAAACTTCATTAAACGGGAGCATCTCTCATTTGAGCAGTTTAAAAACTGTTTATTGAGCGTTTGGCCCACCGCACGACCCAGTCTGATGACTTCTTGTTATTCCACTGAAACAAGAAGTCCAACACCACCCCCTTCCCCCTCCTGAGCCTCCGTTTGTCTGTTTGTCCCTCCAGAGCCCGAACCCCTCGCTGACCTTCTGCGTGAAGACCCACGACCGCCTTTACTACATGGTGGCGCCCGCCCCCGAGGCCATGAGGATCTGGATGGACGTGATCGTCACGGGGGCGGAGGGATACACGCAGTTCATGAACTGAGAGCAGGTAGCCTTCGGACAGGGGACCGGCGTCACAGACTTTTTCGAACCTCCCGTCATCCGGCCCGCCACGGAAACGGCGCCTTGTTACATTTAATCGTCGACCTCACGCCCTGATCTCACTGTGCAAGACCGTGTTTTCCCCCTTCCACGTCTTCTGTGCGATTCTGCTAGGATGGAAAAAAAGGGAGCCTTCGATGGGACGCACACACACTTCACTTCACCTCTGTATATAAAACCAAAATGCATATCTGTCAAAGACTGTTCAAAGCCTTTCTATATTGCCAAATGGAGTCGTAGTTAATCTCGAACATTTTTGTATTATTTGCTTATTCGTTTTTACTTTCAGAGAAAAATTGCCAAATGACATGATGCCAATGTTTTTTGTCTGAGTATTCCATCACGACCGTGCCGAACGGTTTAAAAGGATTCATCAATCAAAGGCTATTTAAATATAGAAAAAAAAGTTATATTTGAAGAATTAAACTGTGTGAATGGATCTACGAAGAGGATCTCGGAGCCCAGCGTCTTCATCCTTCTTCTCTGACAGTGAACGACGGTGGTTCGCTTCATTCTCCACAACAAGCACCTCACCTCACCCCACCTCACTTCACATCAAACAGCACCCAGACCCACAACCCCCACCCCCGCCCCCGCCTCTTCACGCCGGCTTACCAAAGTTTTTAGAGGAGTACTGTTAGACGTTGACCCTCAGGTGCTCACCCTGCAGCTTTCACCGTCGTGTTACCGGCACAGGGTTCCAGTATTAGTGCAGAGGCTGCTCATTAACTAAACCGCTTCAAAGTACCGTAGTCTGAACCTAGCGAGTGTTCGATGAGAACGAAACCACACACACAGTACACACACACACACACAGACACAGCACATGTACAGGGTAAAGCCAGAAAACAAGCTGAATAAAGCATAAAGACTGGATGCAGTGGAGCGAAGTGTGTGCTTTTAAATATTCATCCATACAGTCTGATTGTGTTTTTTTTTACACATATCCTGTAAAGGAGAAGTGTCGAAAAATGCGAAGCCGATCTCACACATCCGTTTATTCAGTTTTGCACATAAAAACTGTAGGATCGGCTTCTAAAATCACATCCCTGCTCCTCATTAACAGTTGCCAACATCCGACTGTCCACCGTTAGCCCAGAACCCCTTTTTTAACGAGAGTCTATATGAAAAACGTCTCTGTTATTGACTCACAAAAGCCACAGCTTTTGCCTGGAATAAACACTTGTGAATGTATTTGCTTTATTATGTGGTGTGTTTGGAGCGTTTGGAGGAGGAGGAAGGGTGTCCGTCTGAAGCCAAACGGAACAGAAAAGCTTAGCAGGCGGCGATTCGGGAAGGCAACAGGGGACCCGTCCCCAAAACGTGGCACCGAGCCCGCTAAATCAGTTTATCTTCAAACCGAGGCGAGCATTCAGAGCCGCAAATAGGCGTCCAGTCTTTATGCCCACCAGCTGTCTCCCGGCTTCATTTAAAATTGGCCACCTTAGCTAAGTAGAATGGAAAAGGGGGGAAAAAACTGTCAAAAAACTGTATCTTTTTGCTGCTTATGCGTGTTGTGTCACGTGTTGTGTGGTTAACAATTCATTTTGGATATTCAGACACATGACAAATGACACAAAAGTGCTGAGAATGTCAGACTATTCTTATGTTATATAAAGGTTTTTATCAGTTATTTACCAGCTCTAAAAGTGGACTTTTTCATTTTCGGAAATATTTAATGTACCCTCTCAGTTTTAAGCCAGGGCAAGACTCGAAACTGCATTTTAATCATCGCCAGCGGTCAGTTCTGACAAGTTGTCTGACCTCCCCAAAAAACTGTTCAGTTGTTTCACCAAAGCTGCCACGTTTCTCAGCGTTTGTGTGACCAGAAATCAACACAACCGGACTAATGCAATTTCAGAAAGGGTGCCTTTGACCGCGTGCAGCCATGTTTGTGAGGTCTTCTACGTTACCGGGGAGGTGGGTTTTTTTCTGTAGGCTGTTGAAACCAGAGGCCTCGGGGGCACAGTGGGGGTCAGTTTAATCACTGCTGGACACTAACGGGCTCTCAAAAGGGAAATGTCACCCGTTAAAGAGGAGGGGGGCGACTAAGGACATACTGTAGTTATGTTTCGTGTCACTTTTGCTTTCGGGATGGCATCAACACCAAATTTTTTTTCTTATAAAAAAAACTACCTCAGTGATGCAATCGTCGTTATTTTGGCTTTAAACAGCCGCTGTTTTACGGTTGTGGGCATTTTCCTCCCTTTTGCTGGAGTGTGTAATGTGTACATTGGAGTTAATTTAACCCCCTAAACACAAGAATAACATTTCTTTTTTGATGCCATGTCCAATTTCTCACTATAGGACAGAAATCTAAGAAAAGTATTCAAAATGGGGCCGCATGTGCTATTGGAAGGTGAACAAAATGCATCTAAATTCCGACCTGCTTTGGTCATTATGACTCCAATGTTGTGATATGAATCAGCAACAGAAAAAGTCTAAACTCTTTTAATTGGCTTCCTCCTGAGCTGTGGCATCCTGCCCCCACGGCGTCCTCCTGCCTTCGCGCATGAAGGTTTAATCAGCCTTCTTTGTTGTAAAATGTAGATCGTGTTTTTTTTATTTTTTTGTGCGTGTCCGTTTCTTTGTTGTTTGTGTGCGCCTGTGTGTGTGTGTGTGTGTGTGTGTGTTGGGTGGGGGGGTGGGGGGGTTGGCAGACTGATTCCTGGAGCACACGGAACTGCTGTTTGGTTGCTTGTCTCGGTACACTAAAGGTATTTATGGTTGTGGTGCCTCCAGTGGCGACATGTTTACTTCTAGAAAAGTAAAGTAGACTAGTGAAAAGACCTTAATATAATGTGCCCTCCTTGCCTTTTACTGTTCCAAACTCTTTAACAATGGCAAGGCTGTTAAATCATGGCTGTAGGTAGTAAGTGGTGTACCCATTACAGTTATCTACATGTGTTAAAGAAAAAAAAAAGAATCTATAAAACAAAGACATTATTGCCTGAATGGAAAAAAAAATGTGGAAATGTAACAGTATTGTATGAAAAGAAGTACAATTTTTACTTATTTTGTCATTGTAGAACTTTTATTGCAGTTACATTTAAAATTGTATAGTAGTGCTGTATCAATCTACCTTTTTTTATTTTTTATTGGTACAACTGAACACATCTGCAGGTACACATGCACACAAACGATAAACCACTTAGCAACCCGACAAAATTAAGGTTTGTTTTTGTTTTTTTAGAAACAAACAGATTCACATCAGTACACGGACCATTCAGTGTAATTGGTACCCTGTATGTGTCATGTTCATGTATGGATAATATGGACTTTTGTCAAATCTATTAAAAAACAACTATCACACGGCATCAGCCCCTTCGTGTGGATTAATTGGAGCACGATGCGCCGGCTCCAGTGTTGAATAGAGAAAGTACTGCTACACACAACATGACGGAAGCTTCAACATGTTAAGGACGATAACCAAAACCAAACCAAAATAATAAAACCGAAAAAAACAAAACCCACAACCCACAGAATAACCCAGATAAACTAATGCACACCTACACCTTTCTTTGTTTGAATGATGCCTTCAAGAACAGCAACAAGTCCCGTCGGAGATTTGCAGGAAGTGCATTTTACACCGTGTTGGTAGCATCGCCTGCAGAGAAAACACTCGTTATTTTCCAGAGCAACACACACACACACACACACACACACACACACACACACACACACACA